TCACGGGCCGGGCCCACCCCCTTGGCAATGTCTTCAGCCTGCTGCACTCCTAACTTAAGCATTTATTCCACTGGGATAGAAGCGGTAGGAGCAGCGTTGGCACCGGCGAACCATGGCTGGGATTTTCTATTTCGTCCTCTTTTCGTTTCTCTTTGGGACTTGCAACGCTGTCACCGGTTCCAGGGTGTACCCCGCGAACGAAGGTAAGAGTGGGGCGGCTTTTTTGCTGTCGGGGACAGAGAGGGGACGATCCGCGGGTGATTTTTTTCCTCGGGAGCGTGAGGCCGGCGAGTGTTGGGGGGTGGGGGGCGGAGAGGACGGGGATCCCCGCGTGAGCAGTGCTCTCAGACTCGAGAGAAAGGAGCCGGGGAGAGGGGATCCGCCAAGAGGGGGTACGGGGCGGCCGAGTGTCCTGACCCGGGCGGTGACCCGTGCTTGCGGCGAGACTGCCCAAGTTTGTAGCAAAAGGACAAAGTTTGTCAGCATCCGCCGCGAGGCCAGTTGGAAGCGCCCCGAGGGGATACACGGGAGCCAACGCTAGGATTAAACATAATAATTCTGTGGCCCAAGCCCTCGCTACCACCACTCCCTCACCCAGCCCCAGTCGACGGGAAAACGGAAACCTGGAGCCGGGAGAGGGCTGGGTGCTCCCGGGCTCTTAGGGAAGCCGTGCGAGCGGTGGTTTCTGCCAAGTTTCCCGAGCCCTGCGCTTCCCGGGACCGGGCTGCGGAGCCTCCGCTGCGCAGCAGAGACGTGCGGCTCCCCGGCTGCCGGTGACCTGATTTCTAGCATCCGGCGCCAGTCACCTTTCTTCTCGCTGGGCTCCGGCTCCCCGAGGTGCGATCCCAGGTCTAAGGGGCCCACGCTCCTCAGCTCACCCCGCAGACCTGGGCAACCCACCGGCAAGTTAAACGGACTCGAGTTTTTGCTTTTTGCCCCAGAACTGTGCACTGGGTCAGTTTGGGGAGAACGTGCGGAACCGACTGGACCCGTCTCGGCGCTCGGTGTTCGGCGCGTCTGTTCGGACGTGCTGGAAGGATTGTGTGTCTGTGTTGGGGAGGTGGGGGTTGATCATGTAGTTTCTGATGATCTCAGAGAAAAGCGAGTTGAGTGTGCGCGCGTGTGTGTGTGTGCGTGTGTGCATGTGCGTGTGTGCATGCGCGCGAGGGCAAATGCGTGTTGGTGGCGCGTGGGTGCCCGCGTGGAGATGGAGGATTGTGTTTCTGTGCGCGAGTGCCCTCTTGGTGAGCGCGTGTGTTCCGGCGAATGCTTGCACTCGAGCCTGCGTTCATCTAGCCTTGCATCTGTCTCGCCTACTTTTTCACCCCTCCCTACCCCTCACCTCCCCCATTCCATCCATCCATTCATCCAGCCAGCCAGCCAGCTCTTCATTCGTCCATCTCTCCGGATCTGTCCCTCCATCCCTGTGCAATCTATCATTTTTCCTGTTCCGAAGGAGGGAGCCAAAACCCAACTTAGCCTTGGCTGGGCAGCCGGTACCCAGAGTTCGCCAGACGAAGGCTCGGATAGATTCGCACACCTGCCGGCAGACACTGCTTGCGAGAAAAGGGGCGCTCTTTCACCCTCCCTCTCTCCTCCCTCCTTCCAACCCGGGTCCAGGTGCCGTCTCGGCCCCTGCGGCTCCTTGGTCCCCAGGGTCAGTTCTCTTCTCCGAAGCTGGATCCCGCGTCCCGCTGGCTACTTGGCGCGCTTCTTAGGACGTCCCCTAAGACCTCACTGCACCAGATGCAGGGAATTTCTTTGCACCCATTTCTTGCTTTTTCTTTTGAGAGCAAAACTTGGGAGCCCTAGACACAAAAAGGTGCGGATGGAGCCATCGGCTGATGTAAAAAAAGGGGGGGAGGGGGAGTCAACCCCCTCTCAAACTCCTCCTCCCCCTTAAAAAATAATTCATTTTGTTGCTTTTTATTCCCATCACGTTTCCTTTTCTCCCTTTTACCCTCCCTTTCTACTCCCTCCCTTTTTTTGTAAATTGGGTCTTATTGTTCCCTTTGTGTCCCTAATCCACCTTACATAAATCCAAATGGATGTAGCGGCTTTTCTCTAGGGACCCAGAAGAGAGAATGGGGCCGGTGGTGGGGGCGCAACTCCGGGCGGGGGAGACCCAGGGAAGGCTCTACACTTTAAAATAATTAACAGATCCCAGGAATTCAGGCTTTTGGGGGAAACCAGGAGAAAGAGGCAGATTTTAACTCCTTGACTTCGTGGTGAAATGAGAGGGGACATGGTCAGAATACAGAGGCCTGGGGGTGAGATGGAGAGTTGGGGTGCGCCAGAGCAAAGGGGAAGGCTTCCTCTTCCCACCCCTCCCCCAGCCTGAGGAGCCAGCCTCGCCGATCAAATTAATAACCCAGTGGTTCCTTTGAGATGGGCCTTTCGACCCGCAGGCCTGCGGATCTCGGTGGGAAAGAGAACGTGGAGAGGGAGGTTAGGAATTGACTGCGTCCTTTTCAATGTCCTAGGTGCCTAGGCCTGCTCCTGCCTGGGCGGGGCTCCGATTCCTAATCTTCGATGCACACGCTTAGGTGTAACACTAGCACACTAACTCTACTGCATACCTAAAATTCACATCAGTGATTTCCTCTTGGGTGGAGGAGGAGTCTGTTTGTCCTCTAAAAGACCTGGGGAAGAGAATCATTCAGTTCATTTGCATTCTAATTCTACGCGTCTGCCATCTCTCCCACCCCTCACCCCCCTTTGAAACTTTGATATTTAAAAAAGCAGCGGATACCACCACCAAGGCCGATTTATTTGGTGATGGAGGGGGGAAAGTGGTCGGGGAGAGAGCCTTTTCCTGACCCTTTGAGCACTCTCAGATAGAATTCACTTGTGGCTCTGTCACCATGATGATGAGTTATGCGGTCATCTGAAACTTGTAAAAACAAATAACTCCAGTAGACACCAGACAGAGATGAATGCAGATTTTGCTCTGGAGTGCAACTGCCCTACATAGATATATTTATTTTTTGAATTGTACTTGAGATTCTCTATTCATCCTTTTTAGAAAATGAATCAACTGAGTCCTGGGATGGAATTTTAAATGCTCAGCAAGTTAAATAAATAAGAACTTGCAGATTTAAAGAGGGGAGAAGATCAAGTGAGTAATGATTATTTACATAAGTGAGACCAAGTTTAGGTTTGATCAGAGTTGGATATGCGCACCCTCAGCACATATGGAAACGCTCAGGCAAATGGTTTTTGTAGTATTGGCTTTTGCAATTGGAAATTAATCTATTTTTCTTTTCCTTTTTGTAGTTACCTTATTGGATTCCAGATCCGTCCAGGGAGAACTTGGGTGGATAGCGAGCCCTCTGGAAGGAGGGGTAAGTTCCAAGTGGCTCTCTGCTCCGAAGGGTAAAAAAGGAGTGATTAGCAACTTTCTGAAAGTCCTAATGGCTTGATTCTTGTTGATTGTGGTGAGGGGGTCAGATTTCCGCCATGGCCTATGAAGTGAATTACGCTTTGTTGCAGAAATCCTATACTCCCCTTGGATAGGTCTGTCATGGTAGAACTAGAAACCAAAAGGGCAGAAAGGGTTTTCAAAATTAGGAGATCAGTAGAGGCATCGACTTAGATGCCTATTTAAAACTAACATACCAACAAAAAAGGCAATCTGGAGACCTAATTAGAATTGATGCCTACGTCACTGTGATGGCCATGAAGTCCTGACCGGGTTCATGTTAGAGCAACTGTCCTGTTTCCAGGTGAGGAAAATGAATAAATAAAGATACTGGGGAGAAAGCCCTTCTCTTTGTCCCAGTCACAGGTTCAGTTCTGTGCACAAGCTAAGCTGCAGGAACTCCTTACCTTGCTGGCAGGACCACCTTAAAGCACCTGCTGCCCTCTTGCACACCGAAAGCCTTATGAACTCGTACCCCCTGCACAGTACATGCAGCAAGCATCAAAGCTTGAGCATCATTGGGGCTAAATGTGAAATGTTTAAGTATTTGGAGTCTTGGATCTTTGGTGCTAGGGAGGCTGCATTACAAGCTTGAGAGAGAATGCACTGCTCATTTCTTCTAGAATTTGCCATCACTGCCTCCATTGGAAGATTAAGAGACTAGAAGCAGGTCAATGGACACATTCTCTCACCTCAACCTTACCCCTTAATCACAGGTCAAAATGAATTTGTTTTGAGGGGAAAAAAAATCAGTACAATATGTATCTCTGGTTTCTGCCAAACTGACATAACACTCAGGTTTTTAAAAAATTAAGCATATCAGCCCTCCTTTGCATTTTTTATAATCTATGACTAAGTCAAATGATTAAAAACAATAGAGATGAAAGGAAGATTGAGTCTCTACCAGGCACAAATTGTAATGGCAGCACCCACTATGGTGCTTCAACCATTGCATAGGCAATAAACGATGAAAAGAAAATAACGATGCATAGAAACTGTTATAGAAGATGGGTTTCAAAAACAAGATAAGAAATAATCATGAAAATGGAGAATTTTAGGATTTTTCCAAAGTAGTTCTCATAATCCGTTTAAATGAAACGGAGATTGCCCTGCCTTCCTGTTTTTTCTGCCTGAACTTGACTGTAGTTAGTTGAGTCTCTGCTGAAAAATTCCAGTCTGCTCTCAAAACCATTTTTTTTAAAGGGAGAGAGAATGATTGGCAGGCTTCTGGCAGTGTAGACAGGCTGTATTCACCGCTGATTGCAGGCAATTGCCCTCATCCTTTGAATGCGAAGAAAGGTACAGCTTTATCTTGTGAGAGTCAGACTCTTGTTAATCCTATACCCTGGAAAGGTCACTGATTCAGGAAGACTTTCCCATGCTACACTAGAGCTATTGCTCTGTAGGTTGAATGTATTAGAACTGTATGCTCAATTGAGGATGGGAGGTATCAGTACTTGCATTAAAAATTTTTAATAAGCCTATTTTTTCTTACTAGTTTCTCTTAAGCTTGAAGAGAGAATGCATCAAGTATGACTTTGGATCTGACTTGTTAACACTAAATATACACGGACCTATTAAAAGCAAGGAGTGACACTTTTTTTTTTTTTTTTTTTTAGTACAGTCTATGGTCTATCTAGTTTCTGGAAAGCTTTTACTGCAATTTAATATGCTGTAGACTCCACACCCTACCCCCAGCCCCCGAATTGCTGAAAAAGCACCTGGTCACTTTTTCTAGACACACAACTTTTCTTGGTTGTCTTGAAGTCTTTTAAAAAAATAATATTATGCATACTGATTATTGTATAAAACCCAGACTTTTATGGGCTGAGTGGAAATAGTTTTTTCCTTTCCTTAAATATTATGTATGTAGCATTTAAGTATTATTGTGAGGGGTTAGAAATGAAATTTTCCTTGTGCATAAGAAAAATAGTCTTTCCAAAATACATACCAGGGTAGTAGCCATTGAGATATTAGGTACCAAATTATAAAATGTAATTAATCTCTAGATTTTATATTTGAAGAGGATTTATCAGGCTTAGAGTGACAGATGAATTGGAAGTCTACTGAGTAGGAATAGATTGGCTTCAAAAGTTCTTTTTAGCTGAGTGGGGGGGGGAGTATATTTGAGTCTTTCAATTATTTTGAGACATCTTTGCTGGAAACTTTGGATTACAGTTTTGTCCAATAATGACCTTTATTTATTGTTGTTGCTGTTATTTTTAAAAAGAAAAGGAAAACTTATTTGACAATACAGTCTCCTGTTTTTCCATCAGAACAACTAAACTAAACATGAAAATCATGGAAAATGATGGCTCCTGATGGCAACATTAGAACAAAAACCTAATTTCTTGGCTGTGCTCATTTAAAGGAGTATATTGAGTTTCTGGCATTGATTGTAAAATACAAAACTAAGGGGAAATTTGTCATTGTTCTGGTGAATTGATCAGTGTGTTTAAACAATCAAGTTCAGGCTGGAGAATTCACAGTGCATCTGAATTATCCTGTATACATTTTGTGGAGCTATCCCTATGTACTTTCATTTACATTGATAAATGTGTTTTGCCATATTTTCTTTGTTCTGAGAGGAGAAACATGCTTAGTAGGTTTTTTTGTTTTGTTTTGTTTTTGAAGATGGGGATCTATTTTTGCATTTATGTGAATTTCCCCAAATAAGTAAATTACTGGTGATTTATTAATGGGTAAAAAGAAATTTTAATCATGACAGGGTACTTGTCCCTCCCACTTCCAACTTTCATAATGGTAGTAGATGAAAGGGATAGAGAATTGTATGCATTATGGCCCTTCATATAGTAACATTTCCATCCATTAACAGTTCTTCAATGCACAGATGGTAAACTCGTTAAAAGATACAGTATGATTCTATGTACTCATATTTTTGGATGGAGGCTTAAGTGGAGCTATTATACAATATACATTTCTTAAACTCTTTTTTTCTTTTAATTATATTCATGTGTTAGATATTTAAGCTGACTTATACCAGATCTACATAAGTGTATCACTGCAGATATTAATGAAGAGCTCTGTAGGACCCCCCCAAACAATCTTGCTTCTTTTAGGGTTATTTTTTTAAAGGCGAGAGTGAAATGACCACTTTAGTCATAGTGAATTCAGACTGTCCACTATGAGAATCTTTGTTAGGACGTAGATTGCAACTCTAACCATCCTTTTTAAATTTCTTGAGCTTTTAATCACAAATGCTACTTACAGTTTTGCTTTCAATACCCTCAGAGTATTTAGAAGCAAAGTGTGTATTGTTCTTGTTTACTGATGTGCATATGTTTTAAAAATAAGAACAATATAAACATTTAATTGAATGCATGCTCTTGAAAAGTGTCCTACCATTACCAATGACAGCATATTTGAGAAATCCAACCAGAAAGTTTACTCTCTGTCTTCCCAGGATTACCAAAACCAGAATGGTGAGATTTTCTTTCCCCCTTTAAAGAGTAGTGACAGTGCCAAAAGAAAAGAAAAAAAAAGCCACTGACATTTTTTTAGGTATTAGAGAGCAAAGTTCTGACAGGAGCACCACTAATTAACTGATAATTGTCTTCCTTTGGCAAGCTTTCCTCTTCCTGCTCTTAATTTGCAGGTCTCTGTTCAGTTGTTGAAACAATACACATACTAGTTTTTCATTTATGAGTAAATTTGAACTGTTGCCACTTGAAATTGTAGCTGTTGTAATAGGTGAAATTGAGGTTGTTAGACCACCACAAGGAACTGCTGAGAACTCCCAAGTAATAAATCCACCATTGCCTCTGGATTAAAGGCAAAGGAATGAAACAATTTTCAAAAAGCAAAAATACTTCTGCAGTAAAATACTGTCTTGTCTTCTCCATAACAGGCTTTATCCATGAGGACTGGTGTTCAGTAGTTTTGAAAAAAAAGTAATAATAATTGAAGTTGTATGAGAGTAAAATAGGGTTGACAGATCCTTGTGTGATGAAACGTTGTGATTGATACGTTTTCTTCGGATCTTTGCAGTGGGAGGAAGTGAGTATTATGGATGAAAAAAATACACCCATCCGAACCTACCAAGTGTGCAACGTGATGGAACCCAGCCAGAATAACTGGCTCCGAACTGACTGGATCACCCGAGAAGGGGCTCAAAGGGTGTACATTGAGATCAAGTTCACCTTGAGGGACTGCAATAGTCTTCCAGGCGTCATGGGGACTTGCAAGGAGACGTTTAACCTGTACTACTATGAATCGGACAACGACAAGGAGCGTTTTATCCGAGAGAGCCAGTTTGCCAAGATCGACACCATCGCGGCTGATGAGAGCTTCACCCAAGTGGACATCGGCGACCGAATCATGAAGCTGAACACCGAGGTCCGAGATGTGGGGCCACTGAGCAAAAAGGGCTTTTACCTGGCTTTTCAGGACGTGGGCGCCTGCATTGCCCTGGTGTCCGTCCGCGTGTTCTACAAGAAGTGCCCGCTCACCGTGCGCAATCTGGCCCAGTTTCCAGACACCATCACGGGGGCTGATACGTCCTCTCTGGTGGAAGTCCGCGGCTCCTGTGTCAACAACTCAGAAGAGAAGGATGTGCCAAAAATGTACTGCGGGGCAGATGGTGAATGGCTGGTACCCATTGGCAACTGCCTCTGCAATGCCGGGCATGAGGAGCGGAATGGAGAATGCCAAGGTAAGACGAGCCATATTGTCCTTTTCATTAGGGCTCAGTGCACATAATTAAATCAGAAAGGCGACTGAATGGAGTAGAGCCAGTAATTAGCAGCCCCTGTGGGATGTGGTGGGACAGAGGGGTCTAATGAGTAAGTGCTGTAGCTCCAGGTGGCAAGGCTGGGCCGGTTCTGATCCTGACAACGTAAATGATGCTGCCATAATCAGCAGAAGGCCAAGCATATTTGCTATCGGGCACTTAGATCTGAACAGGCTTGATGTGCCCTCGGAAATGTAAATGATCAAGCTGAAGAAATGAGATTGATGGATCCTTCTTTAAAGAGGGTGGGCAGATGTTCAAGCCATAGTAGAGACTTGGTAAAAATGGTAAATATCTCTGGTTGTGTGTATATGTACATAAACAATTTACATGTGAAATATGAATTGTGTTGTTTCAAATCTCTCAAGCTGTGTGGGGAATGTCCAGTGTCCCCTGTCTTTTGAAGTGACAGTGTTTCGAGTGCATTTGTTCCACTGAGCACCCATCGCCAGGGTCCCTAAGAGAAATTAATCTTGATGAAAGACCTTTCTTTCCCCCCAGGAGGTGATAAGGAACTAGCAAGAGTCTTCTTATTTCATCTGTGGTCAGAGGCGATATTAAATTGTGATCCATTTGGTTATTGAGTGTTTGAAGAAATCTTGATGTTTTTGTCATGTTAATTTCTATGCAGCATATTACTAAAGTGTTTTTTTTTTCCTCATCTAAAATAGAGTGTATGCAGTTCCTTCTTCCCTTATGTCCCCTTTTCTGTTAGAATACTGAGGATTTTTTAAAGTTATTTTTATTTTTTTTTAAAAAAGCCTTGTTTCTGAGTAAGGGATGAGAGTAATTCATTTGTATATGGATTGCTCATGTCATGTGTAGCTTAAGGCTTTAAAAAGATCAGTTATCCAAGGTTTTTATTTTTGCTTGGTATTTATTTTTAGTGGTTATCAATAGTTTGCTGCTGCCAATCTCATTATGATTAGTACTAAAGAGTGTAACTCTGGTCCCATCTAGGCAACAGATCAGATTAATCTTTTCTCGGGGTGATTGTTGAGCTGTAGACTGGATTGCCCATGGTTCACCTGATTTGGTGATTAAAGAGCCTGAAATAACTGCCTGCCAAACAATTTGTCTGGCATTTCAACCATCTTAATGACACGGTGGGATTAACTATGTATGGGGCAATCCACTCGACGGACTGGAAATCAACTATAATAACCTAGAAAAATTACAGTTTTGATAATTTGGTGTCATAGAGTTATGGTTTCATAGTTTATACATTTCTAAAGTGTCATTCTTGATTTGCTTGCAGTTATTTTTTGGAGTAGCTAACAATGAATGTCTTTTAACTTCATTGTAAATAAAACAGAATAAAGGCTGACTACCCTTTCTGTTGACCTAGTGTGAAAAGGTAAATTTACAAAATTAGAAAATTTGTAAGTTGGGATTTAAAGGCAGCTTTTGCCATTTTGTTTGCTGTTGACTCAGCAACTATAAGATAACCTGTACCAAAGTGAAACTGTGAAGTATATTCTAATACCAATTTTAGAAAGTATATGAGTGCATTATTATTGGCATGTGAATTATAATAATCATAGAAGGAATAGTGAAATGAACTGGGTGATGACACCACATCACATTTTAGAGTAAATTATTCTGCCTTTTCTATTTTTCTAAGACAGAATATGCACATCTTCACATGTCGAGATTTTTATATATATTTAAAATATATATTGTCTTCCATTTCCTGCTCAAATGGTCACATGGCTGGCATTAGAATCTCTCGGTATTAATGTCATTGATTTTCAATTGTCACAGAGCCCAATAATTCATAGGTTGCTTCACTGTGAAACTCCTTGACAGTTTTACAACCCAAATTAGAAGGAAAAGAGAAAAAGATGGAGGGGGAAATGAATGTAAAGTCAATTGAACAAGTTAGTGGTTTGTTTTATGGAAATAATCTTGGGACTCTAATTAATCATGTAGTTCATGGGAGGGGAGGGGCTCCAAGTTTTAGGTCTAGTTCATTTCTGAGCAAACTGTTCTCAACACAGGGTCAGATATTTAATGGAATGGGAAGATTGGTTGAGTCATTTTTGAGAATCTTTGGTATTTCCACACCTGCTCTTCATGTATTTCCTTTGCTAAGCATAAAGTGACTAACTCGCCCTAGCTGGTTTGGCTCAGTGGATAGAACACTGGCCTGCAGACTGGAGGGTTCCAGGTTCCTATTCCAGTCAAGGGCACATGCCCGGGTTGCAGGTTTGATCCCCAGTAGGGGGCATGCAAGAGGCACCTGATCAATGATTCTGTCTCATCATTGATGTTTCTATCTCTCCTCTCCCTACTTCTCTGAAACCAATAAAAATATATATTTCAAAAAGTTTTAAAAAATAAAGTGATTAACTCTTTAAGAAGATACTTGTTTTGCACAAAACCTTGCACTTTGTTGCTTTTTTGTTGTTTTTGATTCTACTAGTAAGAATCTCTGATGAATTTAGGAAGAAAGGAAAAACTTGAATGACAAAGGATTCTTAAAATTCCAAACTTGAGTGAGACTTTTTAAAGACTGCAAAAGTCTTAGGAGTAATAAAAATGGTTGTCTCCGTCCTTGACATCATTACCGGGGTGTCAGAGAAACATCCAAGTGGAGCTGAAGGAACACCAAGACAAGGAAATGTGTCTCAATTTGGTCACTTAGCTGTATGACCTTGAGCATGTTTTTTAGGCCCTCTGAGCCATGGTTTGTTTATCTATAAAATGGGTTGATAATAATTATACCATCTTCCTGACTTGCCATGAGGACATGGTGTTGTTAGATTGGTAAAAATCACCTTGTAGATCATAAAGTATGAAACTGATGTAAATGCTAGCATTTTTTTAAATCCTTCTGCTCTTCCCAAGTCATAGCTGATGACTTTTAAAGGTGTCGAGCTGAAGTAATAAAAGGGTATTCATCTCCCAGTCACTCTTAGAAGTCAAGGCTAAAGAGAGAAGGCATTGCCCTTGCCCTAACAAAGAATAATGTCCATTTTCACACTTCATATTGCAAATGATATTTGGAGAGTGTCAGGGTTTTTTGTTGTTGTTGTTGTTTTGTTGTCTTTGTTTTCCCTGAAGGAAAGAGAACTTTCCTTTGAGTGAGAGAAAAGTGATTAGGGGGTGGGACAAGAAAGAGGAGGTGTGAAGAGAGCTTAAGAAGGGATATAATGGAGAATTGGCAAGGCTTCAGAACTCTGGCAGCAGGTTCCTCCCCAATTGTCTCTCCAATGGGTATACTGTGGCAGGACAAATAGAAGACCAGGTGAAAGGTCACCTACTTCCTCATCCATCTTCCTCAGGGTCTGAGAGGTCAGAGTGAAGATTGATTAAGATCTTAAATGTTTGACAAAGGATCCCTGGCCAAAAATGGGTCAGGCGGGTGGGGGCCTGGGGTGTGCTGTTGTTTCAGTCTAACCCTGGTCATCTGCCAGAGTCCTCAAGGGACTGGGGACAGAACTACACTTCCTCTTAGAGTTCTTACTTCCAAGCGGTACATGCTAATGGAGACGTGAAGAGCTGCCTCAAAAGTGTCCGGTGGCCGGGTGATGGTGGGCTTGCCCTCTGAAGCAGCCGCAAGTTCATTGTGCTCCTGAATACCATTTTCTGAAGTGATTTGGCTCAGTCTCAGCAGGACAACAAAGAGTGTTGGTCGCTCATCTGCCCTCTTCAGGAGAAGGGTGCAGTTGTTTGAACTTGCCTCGTGATTGGGTGCAGAGGATGAGAAAGTATTTGAGTTAGTCTAGTCACCCATCCACCTCACATGGTCAGAAAAAGAAATAAAATCACATCAGGCACCCCCTCTCCCCAACACACACAGCCATTCCCCTCGGTGAGGGCATCTGCCAGATGTTTCACAGGGCTGTTTTCCTTCCCTCAGAAATATTAAGCAGAAGGCAGACAGGAAAGGATTCTTTATGAACTTATTTTTTGCTTAATTAAAAAGCTGAAAAATAAAAGTTACAGATTTACTCTTTGTGAAATATTAATAAGCAATATTTTCAGAGAATATATAGAAAAATGAAACTAATAAAAAGAAAACTTTATTAGAGTCACTCTTAAGGACAAGGAAGTGATCACAACTGTGACAGAATTCAGCCAGGTAGAAATCCAGCCTTGCTGAAATATACACTTTTGCATAAATAGTTTGTGGTCATACATCTCTAGGATCTATATTATATATCATTACATATATATATATATATGTATATATATATATATATATGATGCCTTTATATCAACAAAAGGTATCTTGTTAAAAGCTCTTTTGAGAAAGAACAAGACAAATGCTTTGGTGGCTGTGAAATAGAAATATTTCAAATTTGTCCTCTGAAAAGAGCGCTGTGGTTACAAAAAACATCATGATGACTTTGTTTTCCTAAGAACCTTAGGAGAAAGAAGTACTGAAAAGAAAGCATTTAAAATATAATTCAGAAGAGACACTGTTTTCTTTTACCTTTGAATCGTGTCTTTAAGAATCAATTGCTTGAATCGCATGGCTGCCTTTATCCTGGCTTTGAAGCATGGCTGTGGCTATGATGATTGAAAGATGCAATTCTTTATATACGAGAAGAACAGAGTTTAATTATTGTCTTTTTTTTTCTGTTGTGCTTTTTTATTTCTCCTGCTTCATGTGACCCAGCTTCTTTTTTAGTGTGAGTGAGGCAATGGTCTCTATTTTGGGTTCACCAAAGCATCACACAGGCATTATCTCAGTTAGGGATTTTTGACTATGCTATTTAGGATTTGATGATTTATTTTAGTCTAACTGAGCTTCCCTGCACCTTTCAAAAAACAAATTAAGACATAATTCTTTTTTAACACTTGATGCTTTAGGAAAAAGACTGATTAAATAGCTTTCCAGCTACCACTGTGCAAAACAGAGGCCATTGTGATATGTTTGACTTTCACATCATTGAACTTTGCTGCTTAAGGGT